GTCAGGCTGATGGGCCTATAGTTTGCCAGATCCACTTTCCTCCCTTTCTTGAAGACAGGCACCACATTGGCCTTCTTCCAGTCTTCAGGCACTACACCGGAGCACCAGGAGTTTTCAAAGATCCATGCCAGAGGCTGGGCTATGATGTTTGCCAGCTCCTTGAGTACCCTGGGGTGTAGATTGTTAGGGCCGGATGACTTGAAGGTATCCAGCCTCTCAAGGTGTTACTTCACGAGGTCAGCATTGATGGAGGGTAGGGAATCTCCCTCACCCAGACCTTCCTGTCCCATAGTGGGCATGGGCATCCCATGAGACTGATGAAAGACTGACGCAAAGTACCCATTTAATAGGTTGGCTTTTTCCTGGGCATCAGTTGTCCCATCTGGTTTAGCAGGGGTCCAATATTGCCCTTGCTTTTCCTCCATCTCCCCACATATCTGAAAATGGCCTTTTTATTGTCCTTGATACTCAAAGCTAGTTGGAGTTCAGTTGCAGCCTTGGCTTTCCTCGTTTGCTCCCTGCAGGACTGGACCAGTGCAGAATTTTCCTCTGAATCCCATCCTCCATCCTTTATAGGCCTTTCTTTTTAGCCTCAGGAGGTCTGCTAGATCCCTGGAGAGCCAGGGGGGCTGCTGTGCCCTCTTGCTGCCTTTCCTCCAAGATGGAATAGAAATAACTTGTGCATTGAGGATCACTTCCTTGAGGAGCAACCACTCTTCCTGAACTCCCCTCCCCCTGGGGCTATGGTCCCTTAGGGCCTCACTGACAAGCCTCCTGAGCTTGTCAAAGTTGGCTTTCCTGAAGTCAAGGACTTCAGTGTTGCTGACTAACTTGCCAGCTTTGCAGTGGATGGTGAAGGTGATCAGCTCGTGTCACCCAGCTTCCCATCGGTTGCTAGGTCACCGATTAGGTCATACCCAGTAGCCAGTACCAGGTCGAGCAGCGCTTTACCTCTCATTGGCCCGTAGACTTCTTGAGACAGGTAGAGGTCATCCACACATGATAGGAAGCTTTGCGACTACTTAGATTTTGCTGAGTGATCCTCCCACGGGATGTGTGGGTAGTTGAAGTTACCCATGACAATGATGGTCCTGAAGCATGTGCCCTCAGCC